ATGCGAATTGTTGTGCTAGCCTCAGTTAGATGCTGATTTTCACTCATCTCCCCTTCCCCTTTTTCTTGAATAAGAATCGGATCCACAATATCTAACACCTGCTCAGGCAGTGCTACCTTGACAAAGTTGTGAAGATTTGAAGATCCTTGAAACATGTCGCCGGTTGGCCTTTTTCCCGTAAACATTTCCAGCAGGAGGATGCCGTAACTATACACGTCACCTTGTGGCCACACTTCATGCCCCATACCATACTCTACATTTGTACAAATGTTTTTATTTTAATACGTTAAAAAAAAAATCTAAATTATAGATGAATACTGAAAAAAAGTGAAAAGAAAGTGAGTATGTTTTACCAGGAGGAGTATAACCGATTGTTCCTTTAACTCCGATGGAGCTTGACTGATTACCAAAACCATCTTCAAGAGTTCTTGGAAGGAATCTCGCCAACCCAAAGTCACCTACATGTCCAATCATATCATTGTCGAGAAGAACATTGCTGGGTTTGAGGTCACAATGAACTATTGGCACTCGACACAGATGATGGAGATAATCCAATGCCATTGCAACATCTATCGCAATGTTCAACCTCTGCGAAAGAGTTAAGCTCCTTGGCCTCTGATCCGTATCAATACTTGTCTGAGCTGGATGCAACCATTCCTCTAAGCTCCCATTCACCATGAACTCGTAAATTAAGGCCTTGAAATCAGAACCACGATAGTCGAATCCGGAGCATGCAGAAAGTACCTTCACAAGATTACGGTGTCTAATATTTTTCAGAGCATCACACTCAGCAATGAAACTTTTGGAAGCTCCGTGTCGAGCGAGGTTGAGTACCTTGATAGCAATTGTTGTTTCACCTTGATCAAGTAATCCTTTATAAACTGACCCAAAACTTCCCATACCAATCAAATTGGCAGAAGAGAATCCATCAGTAGCTTTAAGAAGACTTTGGTAAGACACCTTAGGAAATTTTTCAGAATCACTCGAAGGATCCTCCTTTTTTTTACCCCGGAAGCAACAAAGGTACAAAATGGCAAATGAAAACAAGGCTCCAGAAAGCCCACAAAGGAGAGATATTACCAGTTTCAAGGTTAGGCTCAATCCCCTTTTGCTGGAATGTCGAAATTCGCATTTTGGCAATTGAAACTCCGGTATGCCCCCACAGAGCTTTGTATTCCCTTGGACTGATGTGGCATTTGCATTCCGAAAAACTCCTTCGATAGGTACTGCTCCCTCTAAATTGTTATAAGACAGATTCAAGGATTGCAGAAATGTAAAATTCTCCAAGAATTTCGGAATTGTCCCTGACAAGTTGTTGTGAGCGAGAGATAAGGTTTCAATACCTCTTAGTGAGCTCAAATTTGATGGAATTGTCCCTTGGAAGAAATTTTCTTGCAAGTCAAGATACTGTATGGTTTTACAACTTCCAAGACTTGGAGGAATTTCACCAGACAACAGGTTTCCAGAAACATCAAAATGCTCTAGATTTATCAATTGTCCGACTTCCATGGGAAGAAAGCCAGTTAAATGATTTCGAGATAAATCCAAATGAACATATGAAGATGACGAGCGAATTAGTTCGGATGATATGATACCAGTGAAATTGTTACCACCAAGAGTTAAGTTCATCAAATGGGGGCACTCAGCTAAAGTTGAAGGGATGGTGCCCTGGAGGTTTTTATGGTCTAGATGCAGATGAGTTAATTGACTTAAATTTCCAAAAGATGATGGAACATTCCCAGAGAGCGAGTTGTTTCGCATATATACTTCATATAATTTGGAAAGCCTTCCTATTGCAGGGGGGATGAGACCTGAAAACTGGTTGTCAGACAGCGATATGGCTTCCAGGTTATGCAGATTTTCCATCGCATTTGGGATAGTACCAAACATACTATTATCGTCTGCAGTGAAAAATAGAAGTGAAGAAGACAGGTTGGCTAAGCATTGAGGCAACGTACCCCCAAAGTTGTTTGAATCAATTTGCAAGCATTGTAAACCAGTGGCATTAGTCAAATCGCAAAGAAAGCTCAAATCATCACCAGTTCCCCCACTTCCAAGATCGTTCAAATTACTAATAAACCGCCCAAGCTTGTGTAAGTTTTTCAAAGAGGGGACTTCTCCGTGCAGTTGGTTTTCGCCTATTTGTAGGGTAATCAGATTTGAGGCATTAGATATTGAAACATGTATAGTTCCACTAAACTGGTTATCCTCGATGGCAAAAAATTGGAGTCTTGGACAGGAAATGCCCAAGTTTGAAGGAAAAGTGCCTTGGAGGTTATTAGATCCCACAGCAAAGGTTTCAAGAGAAGAGACATTGAAAATTGAGGGAGGGATCGTACCAAACAAGTAATTTCCATCCAATGCAAGAAAATAAAAATTGGTCAGTCGACCAAAGATATCTGGAATTATGCCACCTAAATTATTTGTAGTTGCAACAAATGCTTCAAGAGATGATATGTTGCTAAAAGAGTAAGGGATACTTCCTGTATGGTGGTTGTATTCAATATCGAAATGTTTTAGCTTTGACAAGGTGCCAAGCTCCTTAGGGATACTACCTTCTAACAAATTGCCGCCAATATGTATGTAGTTGAGTTCAGAGCAACCTGATAAATTAGCGGGAATTTCCCCACTCAGTGAATTATTCTGCAATCCCAAAAGTTGCAGCCTGTGCAAACGGCCAATTTCTGGAGGGATTTCATGGCTGAAGCTGTTGTTTTTGAGATTAAACACTCTGAGGAAACTCAAATTTCCAACATGTGGTGATATGGAGCCTCCAAGCTTCAAGGACCTCAGTGTCAACATTGTGATCCTCTTGTGGCGGCGACCACAGGTAACACCGTGCCATTGGCAAAAGTGGATTGTTTCGTTCCACGAACTCATGACTCCAAAAGGGTCTATAGTTATCCTAGCCTTGAATTCAAGCAACGCCAGTTTATCTGTCTCGTTCGATCCGGCGAGGGCCAAACTAAGACATGAGTTAAGAATAAAGGCATGCATGCACAAATATGAGAAGAAGAGAAGTGGTGATATGAACTTGTAATTCCCCATGGTATCAGTTTTGTGTGAAACTTTGGTTTGGGTAAGCTGCGGTAGTCTAGCAGCTTGAGTAGAACCCAATTTATAAGAATTCTTGTGGCGTAAATATAGGGAGGCGATTCACCCTGTATTTATAACCATTGAATTGAATAAATCAAACGAAAACAGTATATATGATTAAACAAGGTGTGTGTAAGGCTAAAAAGAGTGCCTAAATATATATAGACTACTGGCTAAGAAAGCATTAATTGAATTCCTAGACTAAAAGAGTTCACTAGTGTAGAGCTAAGATGGATCTCACATCTATCATTATCCTAACATTTTTCTTCGCCCTCTTTCTGACTGCAGAATATTGCGCATTAGTGGGGCATAGATTTGTAGGGAAATCGTCTTTATTTAGATGGTGTGACATGTTATATGTCACGTATGAACTCTTTCATTGATATGTGGTCCAAATTGATAGTACTTCAATAAAACATTACTTGTCTATTCATTCTATTTAAATGAATTTGTTTTGGCATAAGAACTCTCTTTCAACTTTCGCCGTCCTGTTTCGGAAGAAATCTAACACACACTCTACTAGTTTTGTATCTAGTTCTAGTTTCAGCTGTGGAAGAAATCTACGCCACTAGACTTTGCAATTTGCATGGGTGGGTCAAGTATCAATTGCCATTTTTAAAGTGAACCACAATTGGCCAAGCAGTTTTGGAAAAGAATCTTGTGCATAGTTTTGTATCTTAGTTCCAACTTACAAAAGTTGGAAACTTTGCTATTGTTTGTAATCATCCAGCACAACGCATGGTGAAAAACGAATTTGGCTTCTCTCCATATCTAGTCTATCCTAATCTTTACCTATTCTTATACTAAGATCAAGCCAACATCGGTAAAATAAAATCCGATAGCCCTTGATCACTGTGGTTAAAGAACTCAGCACGCTCTTTGTCTAAGTTCTAACCTACAAGGAAAAGGAACATAAAGTAAGCCTTCTGTATCATGGTTTTCCCCCATCCTTTGAATCTAATCCTGATGTTCTGATATTTCATAGATAAGACCCTACAGGAGTCAAGACCAAATGGGTTTGCTCTAGAACATACAAGTTTTCCTTTCTAAAAAGAAATCAATAAGAGCCAAAATTATCAAAATCTTACATGAGAATCTGATATGCGTTCCAGAATCTAATAACATATACTGCAAGAAGAACAAGCTTGAATTCACCCTATGTCAAATTCGTTTTGCTTTTGGATTCCAGTTACAACAATTTTTCCATGTTCCAAGCGTAAGCAAAAACAGAATGAATCGGGATTGAAGAAACCTAACTATCGTATGGAGAACCTAATAGCATCATCATTTAGAGTTCCAATGGCTGCACTATGCCCGGTTTTACCTCTTTTCCTTTCTTAATTTCAGAGTTTGTCACCCCAAATAATTGCTTTTAAGAGGAAAAAAATTTATAAACTACTATGAAGTAACCATAGCATGTACATAAATGGTTGAGATTAAAGGGTTAGGTAAGATTAGGAGAAAAGCCGAATCTGCTGGAAAATAGTATCAAAAGAAGTTTGCAGTTCTTGTGTACGCATGTAAGTTTCCAGTCTGCTACATAGTTCTGCTATTATACGGAAAGTTCTCACAATTTCAGTTGAAAATATGTCTGCTTTTTCTTCATGTTTAATTTTCTTAATAAAAGGTAGAATTGAAAGAAAGAATGAGGCAAGAAACATCTTTTAAGGATTCTTAGCTATAATTCATTTTTGAGAGACTTCTAGTTATTTAGATAGTTTACGACAAGGCTATAGATAAGAAGCATAGTAGTTTTACTTGGGTTGGGTTAGAAAACTGAGAAGGAAACGAAGTGAGAATCCAAGGCACAGTCTTCTTAATGGAAATAGTGAAAGCTACTACACGGTAGTAACTTTATCATTCAAATTTTTGCATAAATTACTACCAAAATCAAATAATCTACCTTCTAGCTTAATACACAGTAGTAATATTTCAGAGTTTTGGAAGAAAAACAAATATTCTTGTTACGTTACATTCTAACCGTTTAGTAGGTACTAGGTACTGACCTGGAGTTTCAGCTCTAGCAATTTGAATTACCCTGAGAAATGACCGAAGCTGAGCATGACATGATTATAGGTTGAAAAGGCACCTCAACACACGACTACACTTTTGGCCTTCAAATTTTCATTTACATTTATGAGCCGAAAGTCATAGAAGGTTGAACTACAGTTGAATTGAAGTGTACAAATTCTTATCAAGGTCAGTCATCCTTATTGCGCACCATGGATGCCTTCTGGTACCTCATTTTCTCAATCTCCTTGCACAGAAAATCTAAAGTCGTGTCAGTAACATGGTTCGGGTTGTAGCCTGCATCGAGCATCATTTTCAAAAACTTATATGCATCTTTTAGCCGACCTGCTTTGCTGTGAACTTCAATAAGTGTATTAAAAGTGACAACATCAGGATTTATTCCACTACTCTTCATCTGCTCAAAGAGCTTGTTTACTTCATCAATCCTGCTAGCCTTCCCTAGTGCATTAATCAAGGTGTTGTACATAACCACGTCAAGATAACCACCCTGCTTAATTAGCTTATCCAGGACAGAACTCGCTAGATCCGCTCTACCCATCTTCCCCAAGCCATGAATTATCACATTGTATGTAGCTATGTCTGTGGGGCAGACCTTTTCTCCCATTTCTTTGAGTACACCCCATGCCTCATTGAAGTAGACCTTCTTGACGAACGAACTCATCATGGAATTATAAGTATAACTCACAGGATTTTCACCAAGATCACTGAAAATCTCAAACAATTTGCATCCTATGCTCAGCTTTCCCTTGGCCAAGAATAAGGACAAAAAGGTATTAACCATGTCAATATCAAAAGTGCTTTCCCCTCACTTCAACTCTTTGCCCCCTGGACAATGAAAACAGCTGTGAGGAGTGGTCGGTGGACTTAAGTTGATTAGCCAATTGACCAATATGTGGAGATGATGACCACTGATCAGTATCGGTGGACAAATTCTTATCATCTTCTTTAACCCTGGCAGCCTCTGAATCTAGGTCTGCATCCATTGTTGATCTTGCAGACTTTATTAAACTCATAATCTCGCTCAAGTCGCCTTTACTTGGGAACAAAGGTGTATAATCCTTTCTATTTCTCCGTGGATTTTTCAGCAAAGCCTCCATATCAACCTTCCATTTAAGAACACTCGGCACTAGGTTACCATCTCTAATGTGCTTCATGAGCTTCTCTGTCCAATCCCCCGTCCTTCTTTATACAGCCCAATCACAACTGACGAAATAGTAACTAAATCAACAGTAAAGCCTCTCCCTTCCATTTCTTCCACCAATCCTAGTGCTTCCTCAAGCAGGCCCTCCTTCCAAAGTTGCAAAACCACAATGCTATATGTTACACCATCAACAAACTGACCCTTCTTCTTTAAGTCACAAAATAGTGTGTATGCAGCCTCTGCCCTTCCATTCCTGAACAAACCATCAATGAGAATATTATACGTCCACGTCGAGGCTCTCACCCCATTCTGAACCATTTTCTCAAATAACTGGCAGCCATCATTAACCTTCCTGGCCTTGAATAACCCATCTAGTAAAGAATTATAAGCAATGGTATTAGGGATATATCCATTGAGCTGCATTTCACTAAAAATCTTAGTGGCATCGTCTATTCGATAACACCTACAACACCCCTGAATAAGAATTCTATAGGTAATTGCGTCCAGCTAGTGGCCGGAGCCCTTCAATTCCTCCCATATAGTAAGTGCATCATTCACTTTCCCCACCAAGCAGAGCACATGAATGAGGCTATTATATGTAGACAAATCCGGCCCGATGTTATCCAAGATAGAGTCTTTCATCTCTCTGAACAGACTCAGACTAGTACCCAAATCACCCCAACACCCAAATGCATGATGCAAAAATATTATAGCCCCAAGTATCCATCTCAAACCTCTCACTCTCTCTAAGCTTATTAAAAACTTGCTTAAACTCAACAATCATGTCAGATTTTCTAAGAGCAACCAGCAACTCATAGCAGGCAATCGAATTCGGCACCTGGATCGAATCCCCTCCCTCCAGAAGCTTAAACAAAATGCACGTGGCCAAACCCACCTGGTTTTTCCTAACCAGAGCAACAAGAACAGAGTTATACATATCGGTGTTCAACCCAGCACCAACATCTTCCATAATATCCAAAATTTCAAGCGCGTAATCGAACTTACCGGACCGGATAAACGCGTCGAGCAGGGCTTTGAAGGTCTGGGAATCGACCACGACGCCGTCCTCCTTCATGGAGTGAAGCAATTGAGGGACCTCGTGGAGGAATCCCGCGCGGGAGGCGGTGCGGAGGATGTGGGAGTAGGTGCGCGCCGAGTGTTTGATGTTATGCGTGAGAGAGCACCATTTGAAGAAGTCGAGTTTTTTGGAGCGGTGGAGGGACTGGGCGCGGAGGATTTGGAAGAGGAGGGGCTCGGAGAGCGGAAGGGTGTGGGGGTCCGGGAGGTTGCGGGTGCCGGAGGTTGAGAGGGTCTTGGTGATGGCGGCCACCAGGAGTATGTCTCCCAGCTGGGAGGCGCCGTGATGGTGGTGCTCCTTGACCAGGAAAGGCCTTCCATGGCGCATTGCATTTCCAAAAACACACAGATTCTGAGATTTTGAGTTCGCAACTGAGAAGCAGATGCAGAAACTATATTAACTGGGAGGAGGATACTCTCCCTCCTAATTTTTCTTCCATCCCCCTTTCCTTTTTTATTTTATTTAAACGATTACAGTCTAACACATCAACATCATATATTGATTTTTTTTATAAAAACAATAACACAAAATATAATATGTAAGAGAAGAGAGAGGAACGGGATGGAAATAGGAAATGAGATATTTCTCCTCGTATGAACTGTTTGACAGGTGTTACTTGGAGTTGGGACTTGTTGGATACTCCTTTTCTCGTTGTTAGTCAGGCTCAGATTGTTATTTGGGCCTCTCCTCCTATTTCACCTAATATAATCCAAGTGTTGATAAATTCATCCTAGTATCTTATTTCCTCGCTCGCCTTTAATAAAAAGTTAAGCACTAACTTTATCCTTATGTAAAATGACATATAAAGACCAATGGAAAAAAAATGATTTGTATCAATTTTACTCACTGTCTTATCTCTGCATCCTCTCTCACTTCAAATTTGTATTGTTATGAATTATTTCTGATTTTATTTTGGTAATCGATTTTTAATTATTAGCCACAGTGGCTCTTATATCAATGTCATTGTTTTGTAATAAAAGTAACAAATTTTCACATTTAACCAACAAAACCTTTGAGGTAGGTTTTAATTTTTGGTTTGGTACAGTGCATTTGATTATGGTGTGGGATTTTTTTGAGTGGTGTAGATGTAGATGAAGGAGTGGGTATTTTGGGTCTGTCAAAACGAAATTGCATTTGGTGTTTGTTATCGTAAGAACGAATTGTGTGGCTGCATATTCGTTGTAGGTTTAGGTGTCATCATGTGGGGGAAATTGGGTTTCTATGTGCATACATGGGTGATTTATTAACGATTTGATTTAGCTATTTAGGTTGTTTGGATTTGATTTCGTGAGAGTCTTGAGGTTGTTGCTTTTTTTTTTTTTTTTTTTTTTTTTTTTTTTTGGTGTTTGTATTTTGTGTTCTTTGACATGGGGGTGGTCAAAGAGACAAGGGAGATTGACAGAGAAGAGGAGAAGGAGGGGTGGTTGTGGTTAGGGATCATTGTAGGTTCTAGAGTAAGACGCAACGGAGGGTGAAGGAAAGGAGTTCAATAGAGAATGAATTTGTTTATCCCTCATTTCAATCATATTTTTGAAATTTTGATCAGAATAAAAATTGGAAAGAAAGATCTTGGCGATTAGTGAAGGGTTAGCTGGGTTTATGAGCACTCTAATATTTATTCTTCTAAAGAATTTAAATATATATTAGAGGATATTTTTGAAAAAATAGTGGGTGAAAAAATAACATTTTAATTTTTAACTTTTTTTGTGGTCGATGAGATTATAATGTGGGTGGGGATAGGGATGGGCAAATACCCATTGGTTATGGGTAACCGCAATTATCCGCCCATTTAAATTTGATGATTATGGTTATGGGTAACCGTTTAGATAAATAAACGGTTATGAGTATAACCGTTTACCCGTGAAATTTAAATGGGCGGTTATAGGTATTATTCACTGTTATAAACGAGTACCTATTTAACCGTTTATTCTAATATATGTAAAACTAAAAAAAAAAAAAAAAATTAGTTTCTAACTAGGTTTAGTATCCCAAGATATATTTGGTTATAAAGGGCCATATAAAATATATGCCTCACTTGAGAGAAAAATATAATTGATAGAACGGGCTAATGTTTAATATATGTGATTGAATATGCTAAAGCATTAGAATGTTCGACAGTTTTGTTTTGGAGTCTTTTGGAGCTTTGACCAATTCAAGATAATGATTACCTTGAGCATTTAGAAACATGTTATTATCAGATGATGCGTACCTATATATATTATCAGAGTTGTTAGAGATTGAAGTGAAATGGGAGCCATGTATTATTTTGTTTATTTTCTTCACTAGTATCAAATAAGAGAAATGAACGTAGAGAGTGACAAATAAGGAAAATATGATTATTACTTTCTGCTTTTCATCTTTTTGTACTACCCATACGATACAAGCATACATCTCTTTTATTGCATGTAAAAGGCTTACACACCAAAACAATAAAAACCAAACTTCTACTATTTAAGCAATATAATTTTGACTTCTATTCTTCTACTTTCCACCCTTAGCCATATGTGGTTGTTTTCTTTATGTGGGCATTCACACCAATTTCACAACAGAAAACATTACTTGAGTATTTAGAGTCTCAACAAGTACTAATGTTAGTGGGAAACAATTCAAGAATTAATTACAAAAAACAAAAAGGCACAACTTTGTATTACTTGTAGGGCAAGTAACCCCATTATTTTTCATAAGAAAAGCACAAAGTACGGAGAAATATCATCATAGTAGTTCCCAAGCCTATCTTTTCTCTTTATGCAGCTGCACCCCTCTCTCTCTCCTTCAGTTAAATTAGGCTCCATTCGAATGCAATTGGTTTCTCTGCTAGATTGCCATGGATGAAGTATGATGTTTTATTTACCGCATCTAATGATCTTACTTATGGATTGCAGGAAGAAGTTATCAAGTTAAATGAACAATTTAGCCATTTGAAAAGTTTGGTAAGCATCTTATGCCTTGGTTTATGTTCAAGCTTGAGCTTCTTAGTTGGCTATCAATCACTTTATTTTCATTCATTTATTTGGGATGTGGTGGCACTGTTGATGCCATACCTCTCAATCCCAGGATTTTTCATTTATAACACTTAGATTTATTTTAATCTATTAGTTTATAAAGTTTCTACATAAAAAAGTGTTTGTGGTTTCAGACAACCAGTGGGGGAACCATCTTTACCAAATAAAAGAATCCAGTTCTGTATTTTCAACGTCTTAATCCTTTTCCTTTGTTAACTCTTCGTTTTGATTTTTTACTGAACTATATATTGCATCTTTATCTTGGGTAGATTTTTAAATACAATATTGGTGACACATACCATCTACAAATGAATGGTTTCTTATAGCACACATATCCATATATTGCCAATGTCACTTCATTGGTTCCTAGGTACTAGACCAGGAAGGATTAATAAGGATTCAATTCGTCCTAGCATTGGATTTTGTTTTCCACTTCATTGCATTTGAATATTAAGCTTTGTCCATAATTCGCTAAAAAAACATTGTCTATTATGTTTGTGTACAGATGGTTGAATTGAAGGCTTTATTCGAAGATTTCCTACAATCTCAACAATTGCAATTGGAGGAAACTACCGAATAAAATGGTAGTCAATGATGTTCTTTGTTATTCTATTTTCATATAAACAATACAAATTCTTTATTTCTCATATTCTGTAAATTTTTTAGTTTAATGAAATGTAACTAATTTGTTCAACATACTAATGTATATAACCTTTTGAATTTTAGGTAATTAATGTGATATGGTGATCATATTCGATTTGTGTTTGTTATGAGACAGTGGAGCTTTCTACATGTTTATACCCGCAACACCAGCTCACAAACAACCCTCGACCCTTCTTCCTTCATGCCAGACTTAGTTTTGACGAAAAAGCTCCTCCAGGAATCAATTTTCTCCCCCTCTTCCTTGCTGCTCAACAAAAGAAGGTTAGCACTCCTAATTTCTTTTAGGGTTATTTTTCTGCTATGACAATGTTTGGTTGGTGACTGAGAAACCTGAATAAAACTGTAATTTTTGTATTACTAAAGCATCTGCAATGTTTTTTCGGTCAAGCATGTTGGTTTGTTCTCAGAAATGCAACTTTTACTAAGTATTCTATGTTGCTGCACGGGGATCATATATACTACAAAACTAAACTAATATAAACTGAGATAATGCATTTTCTGACTTTGATAAGTTGTCGCATCATCCTAGGACTTAGTGTTTGGTGCCATTTTCATGGATTTGAGCCGTATTTCTATATCAACTATTCCTCCAGAATCGTCCCTGACAGTATATCTAGGTTTCATCGAATTCTTGAGGTAATTTTTTGATTTTATTTCTTGAACAGCTCGGATGTCTTTGTTTTTGTTAAGTTGCATTACTTTAATTCGTTATGTCTTTTCAGTTTCATTAACATTCGATAACATGCAGGAGCATGAATTACTTTCTTGAATGAAACGCCTACATGCATGCAGGGAAATGCCTTCTCTTCTCTTTGAAAGTTATTTAAATTTCATTTAATTTGTCATGCTAAATATCATATCAGCTCAGCCTACCCAAAAAAACAAAAAAAAAAAAAAAAAAAAAAACAAAGAAGGGAGGAGAAAAATTATGTGGCATGGTATGTGCATATGTCGTATTTTGCATAGGCTGATGTTGTTGTAGGAATGACTCTTTAGCTGAGTTGGTTGTAACATCTCCCTCAACGAGAGAGAACCAAACATAATTGATTCTTATCGTACAATGCAATTTTATAAGATTTCATGAGTGTTGAAGTT